CTGACCTAAGAGCACCATTTTACACTAATTTTTATGGGCTTTGACTGAAAAGTAGCGCAATCATATATTTTGGGGTCATAGACTGTAGATATTTAAATTATTTTGGAAAAAGCACTATTTCTTTCTAATTTGTCTCTGTCTCCCTCATCCTTTTAGCTCTTACTGACTCGATTTAAGTTGCAAATGTATAAACAGGTGTATGCATGTCTCATTACCAATAATTTAAGGGAAGCTCCAAGATGTATCTCTAAATATAGTTCCCGGCGCACTAGACTGCCGAAATTTGTCAGCTATTACGCGTATTTTCAGTGGTTCCTGTCGCAAATATCTCAGACTTCTAAAAAAACAATTGTTTGCTTATTTTTTACCTGAATTATGCGTCTGGATTAATTCAAATGTATTCAGTGAGCAATTTCCAAAATGGGACAACTCTCTATTTCTTAGGGAACTCCATCTTAAATATCACTGCCTATAACTTTAACAGAAACTTGTATTATTGGCTAACCTTGGCATAAAGGACTTAATCGTTATTCAGACCTCTAGACAGTCTCATCTGATGATTTCCATCAATTCGATATATTTTATTTGTCAACTAGAAAATTTCTCTGACTATGAGTTTTGAGTCTGGCTCTGCATCTAAATCAGTCCTGGGTCAGAGAGACTATAAATCTGGTTGTTTGATTCTATTTGCTTGAGCATAGCAGTTTTTGTTTTATACAGTAAAGTTTTTTCCTTTGCATGTAGTAACATTATCCTTATGGCATGCGCCAGAAAACTGTGCTCTATAATTAATTTGGACCATTATAGCTGTGTTTGTGTGAATAATTATATAATTCATTTATCGGTATTACTAGTCCATTGTTTCGAATATCCCAACCGTAGCAAATTCCACACGAGCTGTTTCCGTAATTCTAAATGATTCATTTTAAATTATAGCTTGTAAAACATTGAGCTCCCTCGAATTTGTTCCTATATCTTGAATCTTGGCTAGTGCACTCAAATCGAGTAGCCTCCCTAATTTTATTCACAAAATAAAGTGTTTTAGAGGATCACATCCATCTGGTTCTCATGAAACGAAATGATCACAGTTAAATTATGATCATGTGACTTAGCCTATCTGCCAAGCATAAAAAGGAAGAAGATCTGATCCTATCATAGAACTCCTCTGTGCTAAGTATACCTTGTGCGTCGATACTCTTACTCTTGCATAACACTAGAGTCAAGTTTGATACCGAGTTTGCGTCTAGACTGATCATCACCATCGATAATCTTGCCCACTTTGTCATCCATTTCTGGTAGTACATTACGCAATTTACAAGTTACATGCTCTTTTTTCAACTCGCGAGCTCTAGTCAAGAGACCACCAGCCAATAATATTGCAAAAGTTTCACATATCGAGTCTAGTGCAATTCGGATAGATCCTTGGTTTCGAACGCATTTTCAGAACCTATGAGCATTAGGTCAAAAGTGGTTGCTTATTGCTGCAAATTCGCTTCCTTTTGTTATCACACAACATGAACTAAAGAAGACCTCGACAATAATCTTGCGAAATTTCATCTCATAGGCTTGTTAACTAACAACATCACTGAGTTTTTAGTGTTTAATTAATTGCAAGTCGCCATGGTTTAAGCACTATTTAATTATTCTATTTCTTTTTACTCTTTCTTATCAACCATTCTGGCTAGGATGCCTGTCCCTTTATCGTGTGCATGATTTACGCCTTTCAAACTAACGAAAAGCTGTGCTTTATTCTGGATCTGATGAATGGTGGAGATCTGCATTACCATCTCAGCCAACACAATATTTTTTCTGAATCAGAAGTGAGATTCTATGCGGCCGAAGTGCTGTTGGGGCTTGAGCATATGCACCATAGATCTATCGTCTACCGAGACCTCAAGGTACGTATAAACCATGTTTTAAAGCACTGTCCATGTCTCTCAATTCACATGTTTCTAAATAATATATGGGTTATATGTAGCAGGGTATGCTCACCTCATCATATCCCTCCCCCTCTTTATATTGTATCGCCCTTCCTGAGCTTTATTTTTCTCTTAGTAACGGTGCACAATGCTCCCACACATTTTATCACCTACTGCGTCTCATAGAGACATAAGCAGGTAAGTCTCTTTTCAGAATGACTTTGAAGAGTCTACCTCGTACTAGGTCCTCTGCCAGTGTCCTATTGTGTCCTCCTCAAATCGGACCGCTGACTGGGTACATTTCCAGACTGTTGCCAACTAAAATATTACCTTATATTTGACGCCATATGTGCGATCTGAAATTTATTTTTTAAGCCAGTAGCACTTAGTAGGAGCTGCCCAAGAATAGGGGTTGTCATCTGGGATTAAGTGATTTATTAGGATTCAGAGGCGTTTGACTAAAGATTGTACCACTTTTACTTGGCGGTGAACTCGATCTGTCACAATTTCTTCAGTTTGCCTTCTCAATTGTCCCTTAAGATCGTGCATGAAGAGAGAAGTAAGTATACCTTGTACCTAAACTTTCCTTAGCTGTTCAGGGCAGGACTGATGCATATATTGACCTTGGTTCCTCAGGGTCTTGAGTAATCCAAAAAGTTACTGACATTTATCTGGCCATTCTGGCTGGCTGTAGTCAGGATTAGTTTTCCGACTTTTTAATAAAGTTCAAATTCGCTAATCCACATGGGATTGAA